AAAGCAAACGAATTTTCGCGGAATCAGTCACTCCACTGACTGCTATTCTACTTTTTTCGAAGAAAAGGGGCAGATTTCTCCAATAGAGAAAGATTGAGGTCATTAGAAATGCATGATTTATCCCTTGGGTAAAGCTGACTTAATAGGACCGTGTAAAAGGGAAAAAGCATAGGGAAAAGTGCAATCTGAGGTTGTTGGAACAATATTTTCTCAGCAGGCTAATCAGTCCGAAATGTACCCATACATGGGATAATTCATGTACTTATTAATTTATGGAAAATCCTTGAAAATGACGTGGTAACAACTGGAAACCGATCCCGTTGGAGTGTAAATAAACAAGAAATCAAGTAATTTCAGTTTAGTGAGAAGTAGAAAGCGTTCCGAGAGATGGCTAATTGGGTTTATTGATCACTCGAAATGGACAAGTATAGTGAACCAGTAGCTCGTCGTCGGCAAACTGCGCACAATCAGACCGAACACGCGAAGCGGAAACGCCTTGGCATCGCGACGGGGATGGGGGGTTCGTTAAACAACAACGCCGAGCAAAGAGCAAAAGTAGCAATCGCTGGTTGTTCCAGTCCAGTATTGCAAATGCCATATGTACAATTCAAATAGCAAAAAATGACGATGAAAAATGGAAAACAGAAAAAATTAGAAAACTCCAATGTAATAGGCCAGCGCTCGAAGGTTTATTTACTTATTTATTTATCTGCTTACTTAGTTACGTTCCTGGACGCATCAGGTACGATAAAGGCAGAAAAGGAGGTACCGACTGCTTAAAAAGAACTCGAACACTAGAAGTCCACCCACCTAAAATGGCCAGTCCCTTCGAAGATTTTGCCATTTCCGGTCAGCGAATCTGATCAGATCAGAGGTCTCAAAAATTTAGGCTACTGGGACTTACCAGAAACAAGGAAGACGACAAAACATCGCCTCAAAATAGGACATATACAGTGTAATGCAGTGAGGCAGAAGATAAGCCTAATTCTTCTGGTAGAATCGTCAGAGGTAGCCAAGCATTTGTAACTAAAGCTGTGCCAACTACTTGAATGATAGAAAAAAGTAACTATTTTGTCCTTGAATTTACAAGATGTACAGTACAGATCGATTTCAGGATGAATCAAGTGCTACCAAATGTACTTCGAGGAGGTTCAATTAAGAGAGATCATATTATTATGTGGTAACGTATAATTTGAGGTAATAATGAATACTAATCGATATCATACTATATTATATTGCGCTATATTTTAGTATCCAGCACAATATTATACTTTACCACGCTATACTATACCATATTATACTAAACTCTACTACTATACTATAATACACTATAATATACTATACTATACTGTACCATATATCCTGTACAACATGAACTATACAATACAACTATATACTATACATATTAATTCTTCATACTAAGCTATACTATACTACTACTACTACTACTACTACTACTACTATATTAGGTATACCATACTGGTCTCTGTTACGCTTCAACACATAACAAATATAATAGATAAAATATAATGTAATATGAAATAATACATAATAATAATACATATACATAACATAATATATAATAATACATATACATATATATAATGTAATATGAATAGGGTAATGTATTTCATAATACTACCCCATACTATGCTTTGTATATAATATTGAACTACAATTTAATAATACAATTCATATGAAAATTCGATATAACGTAAACAGGATAAATACGAAGTTATACTGTACGATATTAGATACCATACTAAACTGACTAATACTAATATAAGGTATGTGTTATACTACAGTACATAATAAATATAATGGATAAAATACAATGTAATATGATATGCCATACTGAACTATGATGTACTACAATATATAATATAATTGAATACAAAATTTTATGTAATGTATACAGGATAAATATAAAGTAAATAAGTTGTAGTCATGGTCATTACCTAAGCCCCAATATCCACTGGGTTGATCCACCAATTAAATAGAAGGATAGTAGGATAGCAGTGGAATGGCGGATTGCGCCGAAAGTAGCAAGCGGGAGATAAATGACAAACCAAACACGTAATCAGATTGTGGTGAAGAGACTGGGCAGGCTCGAAGGAGCCGGCCGACTGAATCGAAAAAGCTTTGAAACACTCTCACATTTCAAGCAAGCGGAGACAGCTGCAGACGACCAAGACCAACTGGGTCAGCAGCCCAACTGAGAAAAATCCTATTTCGTCTACATGATTGACAGCAACAACAAATATGGGCCTGATAGATAGAAAACATGTCAGAAATTCTCACGAAGCTTATGCCAAATCGTTTGCCTTCTGGCGAAAAATAGCATAAACCTAGCATCTTTCTGGAGAACTTCTGACAACTTCTCACTTTTACAATGGGGAACTGGACTGGCATATTCACCAGCATTGCGCCAAGTTAACAAGATTCACCCTTGAGTGCACTTGAAGGCAGTGAACAGACACAACCTTTGGTCGCTGTCAATTATCGCACTACTCCGACTACTCCACTTGGCAGTTGTTTTCTTGAAGAGTAAGCTGATCATTAAAAAGACTGCCTTCTTAAACTACTTTGAGCCGATTCGTTAAAATTTTAATTCCCACTCAAAATTCTAGTATCATCAAAATGGACGAGTTTGCATTTCCCTAACTCCTAAAATCGGGTTCCTGGGGAGCTAGCAAAGCAACGAATTCACTTTTAAAAAACAGTTTAAGGATACATATTAAGCTCATGCCAACTAGTCATTAAGTTACTGACGAGTAACTCACAATATGAAGTAATTTGTATTATGGACCATTTATTATACTCAATTATCACTAATTATCACTGATTACTTCACCACGTCGCTACTAGTAATAGCTTGATGTCACTCAAAAACCAGAACCGTAGGGTTTTCTCCACTAAGACCTAATCGAGATGAATTCCCCAATGGGATGCAATGTCTCATTGCCATTTCAGACGATCGATTGCATAATGGGCAAACTAGGCATGACCCAAAGTTTCGTATGACAAATACACGACTCCATCTGCTAGAGATCACCCACATGCATCTCAATTTTCCCAATTAGACACCCTAGCTATCCCTATCCCACTAGAATTCTTCATATCCGGTAATCAAACCAGTAATATCGTCTAATGCCTAAGGAAGTCAGCGAAGGTAGTGAGAAGGCAAGAAACTGTGCAACCATATGTACCGTCCAGGGATCGGTGACGGACTGACTTCCGCTGAAGATGAGAAAGCTCTCTGTTCCTTTCCGGTCGGTGAATTGGCTCCAGATCGGGCTGGGGGCATAAAAATACTAACATGTATTTCGACAAGCTCTTCACTCACTGCAATAGATCCACCGCTCTGCAAAGAAATCAAAAGCACACTCCTTTCCGAAAAGAACAGTTCCTAGGGCTGCTTTTGTGATATCTCTGGAATGCTACACTGAGTCGTCGCCAGCTGTGAAGGGATCGGGAGTAATGCCACACACCCAAAAATCAAGAGAAGGATCTTCTTCACCGGCGAACACTTCCCAGTAAAGATCAGAACGGTTTGACCCTGAGTCTACATCTTAGACCAACAATCGTGAAAATAGCCCATGCTGATGGGTAGTAAACTACAACAGAGCGGTTTCTTTACCGCTTTACCTCAAGAAGCATGTCCTCCCTAGGTTTTCCGGCCTATTTGTTTGAATAGAGTAGTCAATTCGCCTTCAAACGCTCTTGAACTGAAAAGCAAACACGGATTTCCCGTTCCCGACCACAAATTCCGAGCGAAAACTGAACGAAAGGCTCTAGTGCTCTAAAACACTACAAAAAAATGCCCAGTAACTGGAAATCATCGTGTTTCGTTCTGATGGCTTAACAGCTTTACAGCTCATCAAATGAACGACCGACGTAAGTAAATTCCTGA